AATGATATGTATAGACTAACAGTTTCAAATCTGCTCTCCAAATTTTCTTCATATGCAATATTGGCCTTCTATTCTTCAAGTGATATAGTTTTCTTCTATTAACTCTGATATTTCGTTCAATTTTATTTCGACCCATTTTTATTTTTAAAATACGTTGTTTCCACCATAGATATCGTCGCAAGTATTTTTAAATTGAGCGAACATTTTTCAGGTTTTTATTTTTATTTATGTATCTCTGTAAAATACAAAAAAAACGATATGTTGGATCAAAGCCACAATCAAACATGATAGATGTTCGTTTTAACTAGAATATACATATATACAGGAAATTAATATACTGCACCGCGCTATTCACTAATTTGTCACTTTTATCCGTTTTGTATATAAATCCGTTTTGTATTGCAGCATGATAATTAGTACATGACCGCGATATAGGTGGAAAATTATGTGAATTTCTTCGCTCAAAGATCCTCTTTCTCGCTAACTCCGCTGAAAGTTCACGAACCGAAATGACTGTTCTGGTTTGCAAATCGCAGTGTCTCCGGCCCACAATCCGTCGTCACGCACCGAGCCGACGCCGACCTATTTGCGAAAACTGTCTCGCATTTCTATTAACAAGTTTCGCGCGCGGACGGACGAGTATGCTCCCGTTATCGCGGAACTTGCATTTTCGAGTCGACGCCCACCCTTTAACCCTTTTAATTGCAGCAACACCGCGCATGGTTGTGCTCGCCGTTTTTCCGACTAAAATTGGTCCATTTAACTCTAACTGTAATTTGATGGTCCCTCTTTTTTTTTCGAGAAAGTGTCTCTACGCTGTTTTAGTTCAATATCATACTCGTTGCTGACAATAACGAAGGTAGATTCATTCCTGATGCTTGATCGTTAATAATGCATGTTTCTTGCATTTATTCATCACGTGACGTTTGTATTATAAATATTTTCTGCCCCAAATCGTCCGTGATATAGCTAAAATAAATTGTCAATTTGGACGAGAGAGATTTATCGATATTTCTCTTTCCGCATGACAAATAGGGTTCGAAACGCGAAAAATCATAATATTTTGGCGCGAATAAATGAATAAAGAGATTAATTATAATTGATTGGTTTACGTAATAGTTTTTAATATGCAACGCATAAAAATTATGCTTATTGGTTTACATGATAAACAAAGAATGATGCAAAATGTTACTTTGTAAATTGGTACCTTTAAAAAAAAAAAGAATCCTGTTAATCAAGATATTAAGAAAATTATTATGATTATAATATTCATTTTTCGATTATATACTTTCTTCGTCAATCATTTTTAATCCTAAAATTTGTATTCTATTGTTTTTTATTTAATTTGAAACACTGATATCAATTTATTTATTTCATGTCATTTCTTTTGTATATACGTAAAAAAAAATCGAAAATCAATTTCAATCGTTTTTTGTTAGCGCTTTACAACATTGTGCTTCGATATTTTGCAACGAAACGGCCTTAAAACAAGTCGAGGGTTAAAAAATGGTCTGTCTGACGTGAGTTGTAGCGTAACCGTAACTGAGTGTTTATTATCGGGTTGGAATATTGCGGGTGTTCGAGAGACGGCGAGAGAAAGAGAAAGAGACGGCGGATACGACACGTGAAAGCGTGTTAAATCGCGCGATTGACTGTCGCACGCGAGAAACGATCCTCCCGTCGTTACCTCGCCCGACGAGAAGGAATTCTGTGCCTCGTGTACACGCACGCGAAGGTGCGACGGTTGCGAGACGCATACAAGATCCGGCGGGCTACTTTACAACAACGATTATGACCGCGGGACGATATATTGTGTTTTCGGAGCTGGACTTTGATAGCAGGATCAGCCTCCTTATACCGCTCCGCGCTCTTGCCACGCTCAGCAATACGTTAACTCCCTGAATGGCTCGACGAATTTCAGGGAAATACGGCGCTGTCTTTTTGCATGGATACAATATATTTACTTATCTATGTACATCTCATTATACATATTTTATCCATATTTATTTTAGTTTTTTATATCCATATACAGATACAAGAAATGCTTTATTTTTATCGAGCATAATTATGCTAGGCGAGAAAGTAAGTTCTATCGAGCATAATTATGCTATATAGGCGAGAAAGTAAGTTTTCACGTACATCAAATATAAATTATTAAAACTTTTTTTATATTTTAAACATTTAAACGAATATGTACACACAATTTTTGCAAGAAATCTAATTCTATTTACAAAATTTAGTTTTACAATTTGATGTATAAACGTGTTATGTAAGAAATATAAATATCTTAATGGATTCATAACAATTATATATCGCATAGAGTTTGTTATATTAAATAAATCTTTATTAGATGCATAAAATTATCAAAAAGACAAAACTAGCGTGAGACATCCTCGTTTAACAATCCTCGCAGATACATTTTATGTTTGATATTACAAGCAATTGTGAAAATATCACGTAAATTATTACCTGAAAGCACAATATTTCTGCACACCTCTCTGACGCAATAATGAAAAAGTATTATTCGCAGCGGACGCAAACGACGATGCTCAGTTTTGTTAAGTAACGCGCGATAATAACTCCCTTCGGCCAGGTTTTAATTGCCACCCTATGGGATCTCGCATTCGTCTATCGTACGCAGCAGGTAACGTAAAGGCTAGTTACGCCGATTTAAATAGATCGTGATCGCACCGGCCCCGTCATCGGACGAGATCGAAGGTGGAGATTCGTCCCGGCTTCGTAGCCGGTTAATTATAATGAATTATTCATAGTATCGTTAGACGTCATGGCATCGTCAGGTCGACTAGGCTGTCTCTCTCTTCTTTCTCTCTCTTTCTCTCTCTCTCTCTCTCTTTCTCTCTCTCACACACACACACACTTTCCATCTCTGTCCCCAACTGAGCCCGGCGCCGTGAGACGTTAAATCGTGGTGAAGCTGAGCGAAAGAACAAGAGGGAGAAGGGACCCCGTAGGGTAGGTAGAGTAGGTAGGTGTACTCGCGCGAGCATAAATTACACCTTCGGGAATCATATTAAGTTGAGGACGCGCACGGATATACTATTTACGAGCGAAGCCGGTTGCGAGCGACACGATAATTAGCGTCGATTAGAAGCCTTTTCGACGCTGTCCGATGAAACGCTTTAATTATCGATTATGGGGGCTGCGCCACCGATACCGCGCGTCCGCCCGATCCTTGAGAACGTCGCTCGGAGGACCGTCGCTCTCTCCTTCCACGTGCATACACACCTTTGTGAATATCTCTTTCTCTCTTCTCTTTCTCTCGTTATAAAACGCCGCGCGGCGTCTCGGTTGCTGCACGCTCATTATTAAGTAGCGCATGGAGCGCAAGGCGCGTGCTAGTTTGTAGGTATGAAAGTTACCGATGAGGGAACACGGCCGAGCCCCGAACTCATCAATTCGGGCAAAACTTTGTCAGTACTATATCCGGTGACTCGACACTCGGGGAATAACGGTAATGCTTCGTTCGCGCCCAATTGCCTTTTAAAGCTATACGCCGAACTTCTCAAAGTCGAAAGACTACTTTTCTCTCTCTCTCTCTCTCTCTCGCTCTCTCTTTCTCTCTCTCAATCTCGTAACATACCTAACTTACAAAATTATGATGGGTGGAAAGGAATGTTTATAATGGAAGGTGACGATAAATTAAACGCTACAATGGTGCGGAAATTTTGGGAGGGTCTCGGAAGATTAATCAAACATTTTATTTTACGAAGAAAATCTCTTTTGTAATTTTGTTTCTATAATTCTGTGTACTTCAATTTAATTAAAAAGTAACTTAATCGACATCAAAGCTTCTAACAAAGAGATGGTCTGTAAATAATTAAATTAACAGAAGCTTAATTTTCTGTAGACTCTAATCGAACTTTTGCCGTAACAGAAATTTGATTTGCGGCCTGATTGCGCAGGTTTGTTTTTAAAAGCTGAAAAAGCTACGACAAAAGTGATTGCCTTTATCGAGTTTTCGCTAAGTGAGAATTGACACACACACGAGATCGCAAAATTCGAAAACGCTCTGTTTAGTATAGGAGATATCGTTACGTACCTACTCGTATTAAATTCTATGCTTGAAGTTGATGCGTTGCTATCGCTACGTAGAGCGTCTAACAAGGGTTGGCACGAAGCTAAAGCAAACACTAAATAATTCATTAACCTTTCAATAGCCCTATAGTGGCAAACACACATGCGGATTGCACGCATGGCTGGTCTTCGAAAAGTTGAAAATCAAAAGCAGACTGCTGGAAAACGCGATATCGAGATATCAAACACACGTAATCGCGGCTCCGTCGTTGGCCTCAATAAATCGCTACCTGTATGGCATAAGCTGTCACGTCGATAAAATTCGGTGTTTTATTTGGTAGAACGGTTTTAACGCTTCTGCATTTGATTTTTCTCGTTTTCTCTTCAGTTCTCTGGATGTGCAATCATCAGAGTGATGCTCCTACAATTTGAATTACAATAAATTAGATTTTGTTAATTACGCATTTTAATTCTTATCTCAGTTTGTACCCCGATATATTACGCTTAATATCAAGTTAACTCCATCAGATACATTTTCATTAAGCGAAAATCAACTTCGGATTTACTAAGAAATCTCTAACTGCAGAGAAAGCGCGATAGCTCCGGAACTCTCGTGTAAACAGGATAACAGGAAGGACAACAGGAAAGTACAAGAAGTGTTACAAGAAAACGGAGGAAACGAGACTGGAGGGAGGGATGCTATTTACTCTCGGTTTTCGGGGACGTTACTGTACACGAAATTTTCCAACGGGCGAGAGATCGGAAGAGGATGGTTACGTGGCAAGTTCGTGTAAAAGAGTACGGGAAGCTCGTCATCTCCTCCACCCTAAAATCGAAATCGTTCCGCAGTCGACGTTACGTGCCCGACGCAACGACGCCAAACACCGTAATCTGCTTCCTACACGCGCGTACAGCCAGCGGTCACTTCGTCTCGCCGCCGCGCCGTTGGCGGCCTCAAGCAATGTAAACGTACACATAAAAGACGTACATGCACGGTCGCCAGAACGATGAACGAACGGCGCTGTCGTGTTGGCACCGTACGCGTGAGATTAAGTAGTGGTATAGCGGCGCGTAGCGTTGCCGGCGCGTTGCGTCGCGACGACGACGTGGATCGCCGTCGCCGTCGCCGTTTGTCGCGGGTAGCAGTGGTGGTGGTGCGACGTGGTGGGATGCGGCAGCAGATTCGTACGTGACTCGGTGCGGCAGGCAGGATTCCAACCGGCGCTACTCTCGACTTTACGAACCAACAGATCAGTCGAGTCGCGAACCTCGCGGAACGAGCTGCCGCGTGCGCGTGCCTCTATCTCTTTTCATCTTGTGTTTCTCCTCTCTTCCGTTCTCCTCCGAGTACCGGAGTAGGTACTCCGTCTGTCCCTCTCTCTTTCTTTCTCTCTCGCGCTTTCGCTCTCCGTCCCGTTCTGTCTCTCGCGGATTCGCTTTTACGTTGTCATTTGTTCCTCTCCTTGTCGCTCCTGTCCGTCTCGCGCTCCGTGATTTCTCTCCTCTTCGTTCGCTCCTCGTCTCCCTACCCGCCGTGGGATAGAGACCGTCTCTCCGTCTCCGTTCCGTCCGCGAGCGCCTCGCGTATTCCCTTCTGCGTCTCACCTGCCGCCTAGCCCCGTCTCGGTCACGTACACCACTGACTTCATGCTCGTCTTCCTCTCGCCCGCGGCCGCGAAGCACGTATATACGACGTACGGCGCGGCGGCTGGCAGGCCGCCGCCGTCGCCGACGAGGAACACCGAGCGGGTACGAGTCCGGTCGAGAGCAGCGCGGCACTCGCGGCAACTCGCGCGCTCACAGGACCCGCCGCCGCCGCGAATATCACCTGCCAAACGCAGTGGATGCGCGCACTGAATCGTTGATCGCCCGCGTGAGAGACACTGCTAGACGACGTGACGTTCCACCCTCGGCGACGATAACGAGGCTCGCGATATCGTTATCGCGGCCGCAGATTAACAAGGGGAAATCCCGGCCGGCCTCGCGTCTTCCTTCTTCGGCCGCGCGTTCTTTCGCTCGAGCGCGCCGATCGCAGGCCGCGACTCTCTCCGCTGATGATCCACACCGTTTCGCGTTAGGATTGGCTTCTCTCTTCGAGCGCGCATCTTCCAGGAAGCCAGGAAAGCCGATCGATCTTCATCGCGTAAACGATCCGCACAGTTGGCGGAGTGCGTCGCGTCGTAGCGACTTTTGCGCGTCACGCTGTGATGCAAGGTGTGTTTACATCGCGAAACTTTCATGCTAATTTTCCCCGACTGTCATTAATATCTTTCGCCTCGGCGTATTACGCGTGAACGTGATAATTCTGGGTAGTTAATGCTCATCTTACGGTACGTTTTGCTCAAACAATTGACAACTCCGTGTCATAAACTCCTGTTTAAACGTCAAAGTTAGCCGTGCAGCACGACGTCGAATGGTTGTTTATCAAAACTTATTTTACACGCAAATCCGGGAGTTACCGCGAGAACGAAAACCACAACGTTCTCGAGACTGCACCTGAGACTCCGCGCCGCATTCGTCGCGCCGCATAACAGGAAGCTCCGCGTAAAACCCACTTGCTCCTTTTCTTTTTTCAGCCTACCGTCTACCGTCTACGTCAGTGTGATTAGCCGCACCGGTTATCTGAAATTCAAATCGCGCTATTTCCATTGTACGTGGCCGAGCGCGGAGAGCATTTTTTCACGTATCTTTTGACATTTAGGCGCATACGAGAGGTGTCTCATTTTACGCGTCTCTTCTGCAACCGTCCGATCGGTGTGCTTCTTTGTTGAGGAAATCCTCAGTTTGTTTTAGCGAGTCAATCAGGTTTGGCGTTCGCAGGCCGTCGAGTCGCATCGTCGTCGTTCTCGGGATCATTCCCTGAAGAGGATAAGCCGCGCTCGCACGCTATCATCGCACGTCGAGTGGGGGGTATACATTGTAAATTACCGTTCTTGCCGGCAGCCGTACTTAGGCGCACCTGGGCACGGCGGAAGGTGCAAATGGTCTCGAATTGCTCGGGAAGAAGGAGGTAATAATAGCGCCTACCATTTGATACCTCCGTCGTTTACCGCTAGTGGTTGAGAATTATAGGCGCGCGCGTCGATTTGTCCGATAGATAATTTCCACGTGTAATCCGCTTCTCTCCGCGCCGCTTTTACTTATGCGTTTTCGAAACGACACGAGGTGGATCGGCGAGGCGCTTTTCGCTCGCGTGGATTTCGCGCACGGCGTCGCGTGAAAAAAAATCCGTGCATTGCACGGCGAATGATTCCTGTATCCGTTATAAAATAAGCCGAAGGCGATCGCGCGTTTCTGAAATCGATTGGATCTATCGCCGATATACGGAATCGGAGCCGCGATCGGATATGACCGACGCTTAGATCTGCACCGCGTCGCAAATCTGATAAATCTGATCATAATTTTGACTTCGTTTTCCTGCAGGCAGGCATCGGTTAACGTGTAACGTGTAACGGCAGTTTTGCAATTAGAGTATTTTTTGGAAACGTTAGATGCGTTTTTACATCAATTGAATTTATTTAATCGTGTCAGTTACATATCAATTTACATCGATCCAATTACGCCATTTATTTTTTTCAACGTTCTGAGATAATTGAAAAATTTGTGGTTGTTTTGTTATTAGTTCCATTAACTTAACTGCATGTCGTTAATTCACCTGAGCATATTTGTTTGTCGATAATTTAGTCATAACAGAGCATATGGCTCCATAAAGTCTTGATATCTATGTTGTGCGTTTGTATAGTATATAACTTGTTACGTAACAAATTACTGAAATTTCATTGCCTATGTAGGGGGAGTGTTACGAAACATGTAGAGAATTTCGCATCGGAACAATTAGCGTAGGGTTGGGTTCTACGTTAGAATACCCGTAGGGTGTTACATTAGGAGGCCGCCAATTAGGAACACGTTTGATTGCTAGTTAACTTGTTAGAAGACACGCTATTCCTGAACTAAGCTTAACCGAGTCATTTCGTGATCGAATACTCCCTTCGAAGTGTCCGTACACTTAAAATCTAGTACAGTTCTCTGATATAAATGATATAATGATACGACTGAAGAAAGGGATTGTTGGAGACAAATAAAACAATCAACAAATAAATGCACAAAATAATTATTATAAACTACGAAGCAAAGCTGTAGGAGAGAGGAAAGTTATTAAGAAAATTAAATCTTTTATTGCCTTGAGAATATTTTTGTGAGCAATTATTCGCATGTATTGTACAGCCTGTATTTAGCAACGACAAGTAAAACGTCTTAAAAGGAGATTGGTCAGCTCTCCTTGCGGGGAGGCGGCGCGCGGCAGGGAAAAAGCATATAGGTTAGATTTTCGTCGCGTGAAATAAACGAATTTTAGCAAATAAATATGTGGAATGCATTTAATTGCTGTTTCTTAAGGTTTAAAAAGAGTTGTTTGTACAATTGAAACCCAAATACGTTATTATCCACATTGAAATGTGGAAATAATAAATGTGGTCCTGTTTTATTTTTACAATTTTTTGATAACTATAAAGACGAATCATTTCAGTCTTCGAGAAAGTTCTTCCTAAATATGTAAAGAGTTATTTGCACCTATTTTCACTAAATTCTTATCATTTTTAATATGCTTTCGAGAGTTACATTACAGGTTAGGTAACATTTTTGCTGTGTCACCCGTGTATAAGAGAGAGACAAGAGTATAACTTCAATAATTAATTACTCGACAACCATGCAGACGATTGTCTTCAACTTTGGCATGGACAACAGATTCCCTTAGATGAATATTCTCTATAAATTTGAACTAATTCTTATCCAAATTGATTTGACGAACCATCCTCCTCAAGTTGTGCTTTATTCTCGATGCACAAAGAAATCTGTTTGCACATTTCATGAACGCTTTGTACACAGCTTCAGCTCTTATCTGTAAACGCGTCGTTTCGCGCGAGGCGTCGTTTGACGCGTGCGCGCGCGACGATCGGCGAGTTCTTCGTGTCGGGAAAATGATGCAACTTGTTGACGCCGGCCTGTCTTTATATAAGTTCCGAGTGACGGCGCATTTATCTTTCACTCTAAACGCTCGGCGATATCGTCGGGATACGGATTCGCCGGGAGAAACTGATTTTCGCGATAGAAAGTCGAGAAGACTCGAAAAAGGTTGCGGTCAACCCGAGCAAAATTTTGCAACGCAACCAGACAGATTCGCACGCGTATCGAAACAGCCGACGTTTTCCTCTTGGTATCTTATTCCAGAATCTCTTCTTGTAAGTGCTATTTAAGGCTTTTGCGTCTGAATCACGAAGGGGATCCGCGCCTCGTCGATCCGGATGAGATCACGCCGCGATTGCTTTCTTTCGCGCTGACGATTTCGCGAGCAGTGTCTCGCCGTCTCCCAAGGACGGCCAACCATTAGGTATCGTTTCCTTAATAAGGGGCGAAAAGACGCATACGCACGAGGGAAGCATGATTTACCAAAGTTGCATCCTCAGAAGAAATGACGTTATCTCTTGTAATGCTGCCGCACTCGCAGATGTCATCAACTTTATCTGCTCATTGTCTGTTATACTTAGGCAAATTTATATTTGTTAAATGTAAAACTATACGATCAAATTTTGTTAGATTGATTGCTCTCTTAATGTCAAATCGAAGCTCCAATCGGTGGAACCTAATTACGCTTACAATTAGCGGAAGAGTTAAATGTGCGTCGAGCACACGCTGGTCAACGGTCAAAGATTTTTGCCACTTGTCGAGAAAGTACTCGGAGTATCCTTTTCATCTTCCATTAGAAACATTACTATAATGTACCAGGGGGAAACGCGCCGAGGGAGGCGTATCGCGCACGGGCCGCATTGTAATCGCGCGCCAGTCGCTCCGATAATCGTTTTATGACGAATGTGAAAGAAACACTTTGTCCAAAGGGTTCACCTCATGCGCGGAACGGAAGCGTGACTCACGAGTGGCTCAGGCTTATCGGCTCCTCGGCACGATAAAAAGTCCCTGGCGCCGCTGCCGCCGTTGCCGCCGCGTTTGTATAAACCGTGGGGTAACATGGGGTGGCAAAGTGCCATGGCATAAAGAGGAAGTGCTTCCGCGACGCGAGCGAGCGAGCGAGCGTATTTTTATCTCTCGTCCTTCGTAAAGGCATGCCCCGGTGTCTAATGTATTAATGTCGGAAAGTAAAACCTCGACGCGCTCGCGCACGCTGTAGCCGGGGTATCGCGTTGACATTTCATTTGCGTGACTATTCGAGAAGACATGATTTATGATCAAGACGCGTGGTTGATTTGCGATGCGTTAGTGAAACGTGCACGGAAATATCAGAAAAGTTTATTTTGGTTTGAATGATGGCTAACAATGAGACGTCTAATATTTAGACATTTAATTTGTTTAAGGTACCAATTAACATAGAAAACTCTGCCTCACATGCAATTTTAATAGTAATAATTATTTTATCAAATCTTATCCAAACGTTTATCTCAACTTACCTATGCTACATTATGCTAAAATTACTGATTTTTATTGTTATATCGCTTTCTATGTGTCATGTGACTACTAGCAACATTCATGACTAAACATACATCACTTTTGATCCATAAAAAATGTCGAAAATAAATAAATGGATATTGAAAGACTATTACGTCGACAACGCTCTTGTTAATAAAATATACAGTCTCTCTCTATTCATTCCATTTAAAAATGAAATTACTTATGGCACGGAACTTAATTCGATAACGGTATTAACTCACTTTAAAATTACATGCTTGCATATCATATATATGCAAAGAAAAAGTACGTCCGCGGTTCAGTCGCGGTAGAACGAAAGGGGTTAATGCACACGCGCGTACGTGCGCACGCAAGCGACAGTTCACCTTTTGCGAGAGCTTTTGCAGCGGGCGGCGCGCGAGGACCATTGTCCTTATCGTCGTTAATAATTCATTTGATTTTATTTGGTCGACGCGTCCCGACGCGCTTTATTTGGGATTAGATTCGCATATGGCGATGCATTCAAACGGATTTCTCGCGAGACCCACTGCTCCCTGTCACTTCGCGTGCGCACGCACCGAAAGAGAAAATCTCCCCTCTCGTCTCTTGCCTTCCTTATACTTTATCGCATAAATAAAGCACGAGCTGCCGAGACAGGCGATCCTTTACGGTGTCCTGGGCGATGGGACGAAGGAGGAGGACGGGCGGTAAACGCAGTTTTGCGGATTAGCAATGCTAACGTAATCAAAGAGAAGCGAGATGTTTTCCTGTCGCACAATTAAACAATGTCTTGAGAGGTCGAAAAACATTGCGGCTTCGTTCTCGAAAAACCGTTCCGCGCGCGCGGTAATTAACCGCCGAAGGAAATCCCCAAGAAAGAGAGATTTTACGAAGTAATCTCATAATGCCGTAATACAGTGCACTCTGCTACACTTCGCTACACTTTCAACCTCGGTTTATCTAACTTTACTCGCCCATCTTTAGAATCGTAATGGACGTTATCTTGCTATTGCAACAAAATGAGCAACAGCAGTTTTATCAACTACATTTGTGCAGATATTTAACCAAAGCATATGGAGATTCGTTATTGTCTGTTTAAAAGCGTGCGCTAGTTTTTATGCCTTGATCTATTCTATAATGAGTGCACCGTAATGGAGTAATATAATGAAATAAAAGGGTGAGATATAGAAAACATAGATCTTTTAGTCTGTTCTAGCTACGACAAATTAACAAAATTGCTAACATATTAATTGAGACATTTTAATATTTATTAATTTATTCGAATCGTATTACTGATAAACATATACTTTGCTCATGTTTTGGAAATAATAGGATGCATAAAGAACGACTAAAGATCTTTTAATTTTCTATATTTTTCTATATATCTAACGTAGATATTATATTATTTCTATATCTATACTCACTGATGTAACAAAAATCAGAACGCGCACGTTCGTAGAACAAAAAGGATGATTCATCGATCAAGCATGACTGAAACAAAGAGAATGGAAGCAAATGGAAGCAAAGTGACATTATCTTTAAACATCGTCAATTTTGCTTTACACCTGCTTCAATTTTGTCTGCGGAACAGCAAGGGAAGGAGTGAGAAGGGAAGAGAAGGTTTTTCGTGAGAAAAAAAGACGCGGAGTGAAGTAGACGATACCGCAGAAAGGTGGAATATAAAAGACCGCACGAGGTTTTATCGCACTTGCTGAGCTAACCATTTCACACGCTTTGAGCGGCACTTCTTTCTTGTTTTTTTTTTCTTCAAAATTGACAAAAGTCACACGATAAGCGCAGATCTAATCTTGACGCATGAAGTCTGTTCGAAACACATTTCACTAAGTTGCAAATGTGATACTCGTATAAAAATGATCTCTTCCCCCTTACGTAATTATTATACATATATATTGTTTATTATAAACCTCTCAATAAAATAATAAATTTGATATATTATATATCTGTGCATCAATTGTCACAATAATTAAGATTTCGTATTACTCATAAAAATACTTTAAAAGTTGTACAGAGATTTCCTATCTAGAACTTTAAAAATATAAACGCGGTATTTGTTTCCTAATTACATCAACTTGCAAAATGCAGTATGCAATTAAAATGCGTTTTTATAGACAACTGAAATATTTCCATTTCAGTATCTTCCATTTTGTTTTTAAATCATCATCTTGGTGTAATGATTATTGACGTGATATCGTAGGTATGACTTGAATAATTCGTAACAATCGTAACTGCTATATAAGTTCAGCAAGAGTAGTAACAGATAGGAAAGATACATTGTCAAGGACTTCAGTAGGCACATATCAGTTTTCGCTATAGTCGCTTTGTGATATACATCGAGAAGTACAATGGCTGGTTGTGTCACTAATTTGTTGAGTTACGTCCGGAATGTGCAGGTGTGTAGCAGAGCACACTGTTTACCTTCTTTTCTCAGTTTATTCAATTAAGTTATTTAATCATAATAATTTATTCATTATTCTGTAAGTTATTTTTGTTTACGCGCCCTACTGTTTAAAACAGTAATCTGACGTCAGTACAAAGATCCCTTAATTTGCTGCTCTTTAAATAATTTAACGATTTTAAACGCTATTTAATTATAGCGATAGGACTACTAGCAATTTATCGTAAGAAATATAGAAGCATGGTGTTAAATTTGCCAGGATAACCGTCCCAATACAAAACTATTCGTTAACTATTTATCTTTGAAACGTTAAAACTCGATACGCGCGTAACCAATCATAGTTACTTTCACATATGGAAGATTTATACGATTTGTTACTCTTATTGACAAACTGCGAAAATATGTACGATCACGATTTCATGTTACCATTCACCACGATATTGTACTCCATTTTGCTGTAGTTATTTACCGATGAAAACGAATATGTTTCATACCGTTCCCGGCTAATTATAACTGACTGTATACGCAATAAACTTTTATTTTGCAAATAATCGAAAAAATAGAAATATATATTCAAATAAAATTTGTTTTCACGACGCGATTCTAGAGAGGACGATTATCTGTTCTCCAATATTATAATTATTATTAATATAAATCGTATAATTATTATTAATATAAATTAGATAAATCGTCGTATTAGAATCAATAAACGCAAATTAGGTATTTTACTTAGGTCAACAAATCGTTGTTCATAACGAGAGATAGACGAAGCAATTTGAAGCCAAAACATATTGCATCGCATAGCTTCGCGAAACGGAATTTCCAATATTCCGTTACGGAACTTGGCCAAGGTTGTTCCTCCCGAGTATGTTTTGCCGCAGAGGAGCGTAGACAAAGAATAAAAGTCTCGTCGCGGTGTTTCGCTCTGTCGAGCCTTCCAGCTGCGATTTGTCCTAATTCATTTCTCTGTCAACGGTCACTTCTTTTTCCGAGAAGAATAAGAATGGCTCATATCTTTATGAAGAAAATCGATATAGCAATTAATTACACGATAATAAGTATATATAGTTTATCGTTTTTGTTTAATCGACATTTATATATATAAATCCAATTTTTTACACGCTAGTGAACGAAAGAGATTTGCTTCGCGAAAACGATACTAGTGGGTTGCACCTCTATATAGATTGAACAAAATCGCGTTCATGAATACTTTCATAAGCCACTATGCATTATAAAACTTCGTTGGTAAATCAAATTGCGTTCAAATAATGAGCTGGAAGTTTTGCGGAGTTTGATAACTCCGAAACTCTTGACAAATACACTGCCGCGCGCACCGTTCCTCATTTAACGTGGCTTTTTTACGCTTTGCCGTATGTTTCGGCATTTATTCTTCAAGCACTGTGGGCGTCCTCTTTGTCATGAAACGTCGCTGAGATCAATTTCAAACCGCGAAGCGAGATGCGGTAACTTTTTCTTGGAGTTAAAAGGTCGGAACGCCTTTTGCTCGGCTTTTACATGAAAGAAACCGGAAAGCTCGTCGGTTTCAACTACTCCGTCTTGAAGCTACTTTTGGTTATCTACTTCAGAGAGATTTATATATAAAATAAACTGAGCGCGCGCTCTCAGTTTTCGTAATAATTTCAAAAATTCAGTTTATTAAGCAACTCTTAAGATTTACACTAACAAATAAACTATTCTTATAATAGTAAATTGTTTTTTCTCTTAGGCGTTTTGGAATCTATTCTTGAATTATGATATAAAACCAACTTTTTGGTATCTTTTATGTAGAATATCTGAAACTTCGCGCTTTTCTTTAATTTGGAATTGATTTTTTTTATAGAAAACATGATCATCAAAACCATATCGTCTTAACATTTTTTTATATTAAAATTTATAATAAATAGCTTTGCAATTAAATACAATTTGAAATTAAAATTGATTTGAATCCAAGTAAAAATACTTAAAAGAAAATCTTTCAGCCGTTATATATATTTTAAAATTTTGAACGTATCAATTCTCGTGCTCAAAAGATTTATTATTGACAGGTAAAAAAATCCATAGAAAGTACGAAAAATATAGAAATATGGAACATCAAAGTAAACACACAAAGCTCCCATTTCCAGTTAAAACATAAACTCGTTTTTTTTTTGCAAGAAATCCGAAATAGTTTAGTCGAAATGGCTCTATCGTTGACAATCCGACGCGTTATGTTATGTCGATACACTAAACGAGCAACAGGTACGAGGGCAGTATAAATCGAGAGCTAACAATTGAAGCGCATTAATTCTCGCATCACGGCCGTCGTGTTCGAAGAAACGGCCGATAGCCGAAGGTCGTCAATTCCGCGCCTCGATTGGTTCGGTATGAAATGCGAGGCTCCGGGGCTTAGAGACCTCGTGTAGCGCTCGGTCAGTAGACAGATATTCCGCTGATAAGTCGTAACGTGATAACGCGCGCCGCAGTTTCTGCCGACGCGACGCGACAAAACGCCTCGCTGCGTGAATTTCCGCCGCGATCGCTGCGAACGTAAGGCAATTTGTCGTCGCTGGGTTGGCCGCCGGTTGCTGGAGTAAGTCATTTCGTTTGTTATCGTCGTGCTTTTGAAAATCGTTTTAGTTAGATCCGCATGATATCAATTATCAGATACGATTTGCGCAAATACAAAGCGCAATTTCTCATTAGAATTCATTAAGTGTTGATACGACACGATATTATACATAAAGACGTGAGAGGGAGGAAATAAAATGTGTTGATAGATGTCAATAAGGCTATCTTTGAAGAGAAAAATCGCAATTTTTATTTGCTACTTGTTTAATCATTTAATCGTCAAACCTTTTCAGTATTAAACTTTGTGTCTACAATGTATTTAATATTGATTAATGTTGGCATTCAATAATTAACATATGTTTGCAATATATGATTACGATATTACAGACACGCGAATCTAGCAATTAAACACAACTCGAAAGTCAGACGTTATATTTCAACGTCTGACTAACATGGAGAGAAAGTCTCAATGTGTCGATAGGTATCAATATAGATGATATTATTAGAGGAATATCGCGATTTTTACTTGCTACTTTGATCTTTTAAGCACCAAACATTTTCAATATTAGTTATGTTACAGATAAAAGCTCTTTTGCATCTATGATATATTTATATACAATATTGATTAATGTTGACATTCAATAATTAACATATGTTTGCAATATATGATTACGACATTACAGACACGCGAGTCTAGCAATTAAATACAACTTGAAAGAGAATTATATCGATTTTAAGGTCTCTGATTAACATCGAGAGAAAGTTCAGGAGTCTCCCCATCGTACGAAGTCTTATAACTTTCTGTATCGTATAACGTGTGATGTCTTCGTTTCGATTTATCAGAGGATCGAGGGGGAAGTGCCGAGTGAAGTGCCGTGGCAGAGCGCGCGCAGTCGTCGCGCACACAGTGATATAGTCGTGTACAAAATATATTTTTGTAATACCTGGAGAAAAGAACTTTCGCTCGAGTCTCACGATCTGCCGGGCGTGAGCCGGTCGTTCGAAGTGGCGGCGCCGATTCGGGACAAGCTCGGCAAGTGCGTGGTGGACGACGACGACGACGAGGGAATCGGTAGTATGACCAAGATCCGGTGCAGAATCTGCGAGCTGCTCGGCGAGGATCAAGGCCTGAATCATGGACTGAGCCACCCCTGCCACCTGACGAACCTGAATCACCTCAGGCCGGGGCTGAACAGTCCGCTGCCTAATATGAACTACTTGAACCACGGTTTGCTCAATGGCCTCTATCTTCCGCAGCTCAAGGACATGATGCTCGCCGCCTACTTGCTCAGAGGTAAAGATCAATGTCGAGATACGCGTCGACGAGAGAGACACGCGTTTTTTAGGCTATGAGCAGTTCTAATTTATTCGGCACGATGATTTTATCTACTAACGAAAAATATATAACAGCCGTTTATATTATAATCTGCAGAATTTGCTCAAAGAAGCTTGGATGAGACATTAACATTTTAATATTCGAGATGTTAAACCTTTAAAAAATAAAGATTTCTAAACTAAAACAAGCTTACGGAAATAATTACGTTATGTTTTATTTTACTTTTTGTATTATACTTTATTGTATTAAAGATATTTCAGTGTTAAATTGAGGTAACAGAATATTGAGCACAGAGCGCACGGTTTAATTGATGAGAAATTAGTAAAGCAGCATATATCGGTAATTTATTTAATTTACTCGGTGAATGATGATTTTGTTCAGTCGACAAATATCAAAATAGCTGATATTCCAATTTTTGTGGTAATTAAAACTGCTCGAAAGCAAAAACTGTATCACGACAAACAAGTCCGACTAGAGATACGCGATTTAATTGACTGCGACCGGCAGTTCGAACTTCGAACTGGGGAGTGTGTCAAGCATGTAACTCAGTAAAATGAACAACGATTTTATTCATTAAGGATAAATGTGAAAATCGGTAATATAATTATAATCTTTTATACATTGTTTTTACGATTGAAAAAATTCATTGGGAATTATCTTAATATGAAAACGTATGTCAATCGTGTCAACGATCGATTTATTTTATGCGTGATTATTTTCTTTATTGATGATAAATATTCAAATCGATATCTTATTATTATTAAATCGATATTATTAAATCTGTAATTGATCAAAGAAATCGGAATGCGTCGATGATATGAGCGCTTTAATTAGTGGAAAGAATTCCAGTAAACAGTGTATCGATTGCATTTTATTTACCTTGTTTGATTGTGGTTTCATAACTCCAAATATAGATTGTTTTTTCGCGATAATTATACTTTGGAATAAAAATCGCTCCGGGACGTATCGAACGCGATGTGACACGTGCAATCTTAAACGACGGGAGTTAACTATAAATTTTCATTCCGCAACGATCGCGTTTAATTGTTTCGATAATTTTACCTGCCGATTTTTCCTTTTCGTTATCTTGTCTTATTATTGTCATAACGCTTCTTTTTAACAGAGTTATTTATTATATACATTATCGTAAAGGATAATCACGCGACTTAATTAGCATTTATTGAAAGCGCCCGAGTAAGATTATTATTGTTATCGTAACCGTCTGCGTATTATCAGAAGGAACCTAATTGCTTATTATTGACATATCAATACGTTACTCCCTTTGTATTTTCATTAATATTATCATTAATATCGGATTTATTACCGCAAAAGATGTGTAATTGGCACGAGTCTCAATGTACCTATCGCTAACCGCGAATATGCGCTCTCCTCTTTCTTCGCCATTGCAAAATGCGTATCGTTATCGTGTTTCCAACAAGCTGAACTCACGTAAAACGAGCACGTATCAATCGGTAACCCCTAAGATGTCTTACCGCTCAGACGTTTCGCTTTATTCTCGCGTGGCTGCCCTTCGAGATCGGTTTTATTCGTAACGTTACAACCGCGCTCGCAGGACAAAAGTGATATCTCACCGTGCTCCGCTTCAGCGTAAAAGCGCGGGGACAAGAACTCTAAGTCACCGAACGAACGGCTGAATAATAAATGCGCGCCATCCCCGGTTCGATTTTGGACCCGCAATGATATATTTTTCACATCGCTCGCGGTAAGATAGAATCGTATTTCAGTGGCATTTTGTAACGTTCGGCGATATTAATATATCTGACACGATTAGTTGAAATGTTTTCCAACGATGATATTAATATAGCCCTATTAATATACACATATCGTCTGAATTTGCGCTATTTGGCGTAACCGAGTTTACTGTATTCCGAATTAGTATTACCTGATTATTGACATAAATATTCTGTTACTCAGCGACATAGAAGCCTAGACAATTATAGATTATCACTAAAAGAAGGTGGAAACATTATTACATTAACAAGAATTTTCCATGCAATATTAGATGAATCAAACATGATAGAACATTCTAAGCTTGCGTACAATGTCTAAATATATTGTTTAACTTTCTTTTTTTTCACATGTATTAGTCACGCAATTAAAAACGAGACTTTATTTTAGCTTTTCTAATCTTTAGACGTTTTGCTCTCACGTCATGCAACATACAACACTCGAAATATCGTATGAGCAATCATTTGCACTCAAGAGTCCGTCGTTATCCGCTAGAATAATTGACGCAGTTTATAAATTAATTAGTTGGATCGTACGATCGAAGGCAGCGCAATCCGAAACGTGATCTCGAGCCACGAACCGCATTGAATCCGCACGAGCACGCTATCGACCAGCGGCCGCGTAACCGTATCATTCAAATATTGACAGCTGCATTCTACGGGTTGCCACCGGTATTCCTCGTATCGCCGATTTTTATCGCGAACCGCCAATCGATACCTCGACCGTGGCTGAGGCGGCGGTGGCGGCGGCGGCGGCAGCGGCTCCATCGCCGAGGATGTGCAGCTCTTTCACTCGTCCGAGAAGTGGTTCATTTCTGCGCGAACGTACTCGCATATGTCGGTCTGATTTTATGATAACGTTGGTCGGCTACCAAATCGCGCAAATATGACATGCCCGGATACTTTATTCGCCGTTCCCGCCTGCCCCCCGCAGCCCCATTTCCCGATTTTCCGCTCCCTCGACCGCATATTTTGCTTGCTCGTTGATCTTCGCGAATTTGTATGTACGCTTTCCGCACGCTGTCGGGGAAAAATGTATCGCGAGCACGCCGCGAAATATGGCGGGCTTGCGCGCACTAAAGCAAGGTCAAAATTTGCATCTATCTCCATTTATGGTCAATTCATCGCTCGGCGTCAACGTTTTAATAGTTAACAACCCTTTTACATCCGTATTTTCAACGATGTTGAAGGAGATACAACGAAGATATACAAACTACTCTCTTTATTTATTTATGTCATATATAAATTAGTGAGAAGGAAATTGCAGTTGACATATCAATAATTATCGTCAGTCAAATCAATTTGCTGCAATAGTTCGTCAAATATTTGACTTTAATGTATAGTTGTGCAAGTATATCCAATATCTGGATACGATATTGTATCGTATTTTATCACCTCCAGCTTTTTCGCATGTGAATTTCATGGAATAAATATCATAAATAGATTTACAACAAAGAATATTAAAGAGAATATCACCTCTCAGGCAACGAATCAACAAAGGAAAATAATAGAATTTATTTCGCTCAAACAATAGAGTTTATTTGTGAACTGTATATGTACTCGCAATGGTCATCCAATAATATCGCGATTCGAATATATTTGTGTAACTGTTTGTTATTCCATATTGGTTTTGTTATTAGACGCGTTAAAGTTTCTTGCTCGCAACAGCATGAACGAGCATGATGGACAATCTCGCGCGTAATAGCCTGAAGTAGATTAAAATGTATACAACTTTTATTTTCTCTACTTTTTTAAGTCGGTTTAGCTCTACTTTGATTTGAACAAATATATTTACATTTTGCAGATTGATTAAATATATGCTGTTAGCCTGATTTTTTTTATATAACAAATGCATCGATCTTTTATTATCACGCGATTTTATTTAGCTGTGCACCGGCTGTCTCTGATCGAAAAAGCGCGTAAGTTTCGTGCAATAATTAAATTCAACGAAGTGTGTAACGGACAATTGTGATTAAATTCTTTGTATTCGCTATAGTGGAAAAAACATTGGGGTTTTATGTGGAATAGCTTAACAAAGCCGGTAAGAATTTTGCACGAAGAAAGGCGAATTACATGTCGAGTGGAAGGAAATTTCAATTTCTGAAGGAAGAGTAAAAAACATGCGACTTGTCATATGTGTAGATGAGAGCTTTCTAGACAAGAGAGATTTCAGCAATCAGAATATTTGTCTTTTGATAAAGGGATATTTCTAGCAGTATCTTTTTTTATCTTCAATATTAGACTTAGAAATACAAAGAGAAATACAAAATATAAATTACTATTCTTTTTTAAACGCATCAAATCTTTTTATCAATAATTTTGGGTATATCAGTTTACATTAATCTTCGCATTAAACTTGCATTAATCTTTTCCTATCAGTTTTTATTATTACTATTCTAAAGTTTCAAGTAATATACATAGCGTTAATCGAATACCGTGAAAATATTGTGATTGCCACATACTCAAGATTCAATTAGTAAGATTTCAGATCTTTAAGCCGAACAATAATCTTTGTTAATTGGCGCGCCGAGCTGAAATAGCCGCTAATGAAAACGCGGGGGCAATTAACAAGGTTTCGAAAGTCAACTCGATTGTCCTCACCGGGGGAATGGCTCGCGTTAAATCAGCAGGCTGGATTTCCGCGCGTTTCACAACTTTCGCGAGTTTACGTTAATCGCAAATTACGAGTTGCCGGCCGCGCGGCGGCGACGATGAGGATGGCGTTCGGGTTTATCGATAATCGGCCTCCCCGTTTACCGCGCGTCGCCACCGCTCGAGAGAGACGCAATTTGCCAGGACGGAGAGACGGTAGAAAATGTCTGCCTCGTGGTCTGCCTCGCGACTATGACCTTGATTTACGATCTTTCGCTGACCCTAACGTCAACCGAGCACGGCCGGCCCGCTCTCACGTACCACCGTCAAAATGATCACGTTTACATCGGACGGCGGGCAGCGCGAGAATTCCACGTGTCCCGCATTTAAGCCCGACGACGATTTCCGTCATATTCTCGCATAATTTACGAACGCACACCGTTTGTTGGCGACGCGACGACACACGGCACACAGGCACACAGATCAGTTGAGTACGCGTGTGTATACTGATTGTAACGAATTAATCCACATGTTATTCCGAATTACACGCGACGTTAAGCGAATGCACTGTGCGACAATTTAATTGTAGAAACTTCTCGTATCGCCAATTACGAACAT